CGGGGCAGCTCCGGCCTCGGGCTTCAGCACCGCGGACAGCGGCGGGGACGGCGGGGAGCGGAGCCCCGGCCGCGCCGGAGGTCCCGGGGAGCGGGACCCCGAGAGCCCCGAGGAGAGGGAGCCGGCGGCAGCGAGGGCGCAGGGGAGCGGGAGCGCGGCCCCGAGGGTCCTGGGGAGCTGAGCCCCGCCGCACCGAGGGTCCCGGGGAGCTGAGCCCCGCCGCACCGAGGGTCCCGGGGAGCTGAGCCCCGCCGCACCGAGGGTCCCGGGGATGCGGCTGCCGCGGCGGCGGCCCGGCCCCGGGGCAGGGTCTGCGCCCGCCGCCCGCCCCGGCGGAGCTCCCCAGTTCCGGTCACGTTGCCGCCTGTTTACGGGCGGCGGGGTGTTGCGGGCCGGGCGGGGTCCCCGGGCCGCGGGGCGGCCCCGCACAAGTTGCCCGCGGCCCCGCCGTGCCCGCTGTGGAAGCGGCTGCTCCCGGTAGGTGACCCCATGGGCGCTGCCCGTCCCCGCGGCCCCCCCGAGCGCCGCCGGCACCGGCACCGGGCAGCGGCGCCGCCAAGCCCCGGCGTGCGGGCGGCACCGCGGTCCCCGGATCAGGAGGAGCATTGGCCCGAGCGGCAGCGATGGCCCGGTTCCGCTCCCGGAGCGGAGCTGCATCCATAGCGAATTCCCTCGGAGCCGGGAGCAGAAAGCACGGGCTGGCCTTCAGCCTCCCCCAGCCCCCCGACAAGCGTCGCTGGGGCTTTTCCTCAGGCGGTTGTGCTCAGAGAATTGCAAGAAACAATAATTTATAATCACCCTCTGTATTGATTTTATCTGTAAATAGATACTGACAGATAATGAATAGCAAACAGCACTCCGAGTGTAATTCTGCCTCTGCTGAGATCAGGGAAGGTTTCCCACTGACTTTTCCAAGGCCGGGATTTCACCTCTGGTTTCTATTCCTGGCATCGCCACTGCCTCTGTGACCTTCTGCAAGTTTCTGGGCTTCCTGCTTGCCTGATTTGCCTACATTTAAAGATACACTATCTTAGTGGCACGGTTGCAGTTTATATTCTTTGAGCTGTAAATACCAAGCACTATGGATTTCTAGTGTGTATCAGTGTTTATTCCTGCGTATGTTTCAATGTGATGGAGAAGGGTTGCTGGCAGCCACAGCAGGACAAATTATCGACCTGCTCCTGCAAACCTCATGCCCCCTGACTCCCAGCTAATTTGCCATTTATGTGGAATAATAATCACAGAAAAGGGCCAGACCATGGTGTGACGGTGCGTGTACAGAGGTACGTGGATATGCAATATTGCGTCTCCCTTTCAGATGCAGCATTGGGATGGAGGGCTTTTCTTGGGTCAAAGTTTTGGGATTCTGATTTACATTGAACAGCAGACTTAAGCAGACTTTTGCCCTGGAAGCAAACTCTCAATCAACCTGTCTGTGCAAAGGAAATCAGCTCTTGGTTGACTTGAATTGGTCATTGTAGCTGCTCCAAGAGGCCGCTTCAGTCATTTTGGTTTGTGAAATAAGAATTTGATAAACTGGGATGAAATTGTAAATCTCAGTGGGGTTTTCCACCAGCACTTTGAAAGAAGCAGCAGAGATCAGGACTCCCAATATGCTTGTGCCAAAGGTCATGATTGCATAGTGAAAGCACAAGAAGTGTGAAAAAAGCCATGGTTTAGAGCAGGTGCACAGGAAGGCTCAGCATGACCATGCCCACGGTCACTCCATGTGGGGGACTGGAGGGGGCTGAGCCCACTGCCACCTCCTCAGTTCTGTGCTCAAAATCTTGGGGGATCAGCAAGGGAACCTCGTTCATGGAAAGCTCTCGGTGGTGGAGCAAAGCCTGTGGATGTCCAGTCCCCAAAACTGGAGGAGCTGTTTATCCAGAGCTCCGCATGGAGCAGGGGCCAGCTCAGGCTGCAGGTGTCACCTTTGAACTGGGGCAAACCTCACTGCTCAGCTGGCTGCTGCCTCCTTGCTGCTGTGTGTGCACATGTACAGCTCTCAGAAGCACAAGGGCACAGAGCATCCTTCAAGCTAAAGAGGACTACTATCACTTTTGGCTTTTATTACAAATAACATTGTTTTCTAGGGTTGTAACCTCACACGTCGCTCATCAAAATCACAGAGTACATGGTCCCTGTGAGAGCTTCCACCACCAGTTGCCTTGGCATCTTAGAACCAGTCTGGAAAGGAGAAGTAATGGCTACAGCAGCCAGGGAGGGATCAGAGTGGGGGCACCCAACCCTGTCCCTATTCACTGCAGTACAACCTTCCTTTTGGGAGCCACCAGCTGGGGCAGGAGGAGCCGGTGGGAAGGACAGCCCCACTCACCGTGCTTTGGCTCTCGTGTCTGTGGCACAGGCTGAAAGTCCCTGCCATGGTTCACTGCACAGGCTTCTGGTCATCACCACTGTGGGTGTTCTGAAGCCCTGGGCACAGGGAGTTTTGGTGCTACCAGCTGGGAGCTGCGGTGACCCTGTAAGTGTTAAATCAGCCAGCAGCAGCAGCAGCTAATCCTTATTAACTCCCAACACCGCCCAGGATCAAACTGTGTGAAATGACAGGAGGCACACATCAAAACAAAGGCTCAGGAGGCTGCTGCAATCCCACTTGCCTTCAGAAGCATTGGAGGGAGGATACCAGCTGTTGAGTTTGGTTCTGAACTCCTTTGGGGTAAAAGGTGGACACTGCCTCGGTGACGCAAATGCTCATCTGCTGCCCTCTGGTAAAGTTAGGGACACTCCAACACTGGTGTTACCGAAGCCTCAGGATGAGATTGCACCTTCCTCAACAGCTCTGACTCTTGCACCATCACCTGTGAGGCAGAGCTGTGTGACCTGCAGAGGGGACAACACGGCCCTCCCATGGGGCTGCAGATGGCGAGCAGAAGCAGCCTCGCGTCCCTGGAATCCCTGGAGAGCTCTTCCCCTCACTGCTCTTGGGCAACAGCACGACTGTTTCCAGCATTGTCCCCATTTCCAGTGAAGGCAGCTCCGGCCCTGCGTGCCTCTGTGTCCCACCCCTGCCCTGCTCCATGCCCTTAGTACTGGTGGGAGGTTCGTGGCTAAACAAAACAAGGTGCTCGCTCCCTCGTGTGGGGCTTCAGATGTTCCTGCCACAAGCTGAGAGCTGCTTCTCAAGAGAAAACATGAAAGTCATGTTGGACAGACAAAGCTGATTCAAACCCACTAAGGATTTCCCATTGCAGTTCTGGAGACAGACTTCTCTTCCTGCATACACAGGTGAATTATGAAGGCTCTTTGCTTCCAAATCAGAGACAACAAACTGATCTTAATTCCAGATTTTTTTTCTTTGCCTTTTTTTGCAGCTTGAAATCTATCAACTATTTTTAAAGCAAAATATTTTCATGGGTGAAAAGGAAAAAAAAAAGAGTAATTTCCTACTTAAGGGGAGAAGAGAAAGTTCAATGGAAAATTTGCAGCCATTTCTACTAAAGACATTTCTACTCGACAGAACAAAGTGCTTGAAAATAGCAGTGTGTGTCCCCTGGGCTTTGGCCAACCTATTTTCTGATGTTTCCTGAGATGAGGAACACAACTCCCATAAGAAGCTCAGCCCACCACGGCCAGGGCTGGCAGGAGGATGAACCCATGGTGTGGTTTGCATTCCTGGTCTCTGGCAGATGCCAGGTAACTCCCATAACTCTTGCACTGGCATCAGGACATATGGCCCTCCAAGGAGGATGGCCCAGCCAGCCCCAGCCCCCTGGCACAGCTGGGTTTGACACCTTCCATAAGGACAACTACAGGACAATGCACTTTGGTTGGGTGCTCAGCTGCCCCCAGCCAGCCTGCACCCCCCACCTCATCAAATACAGGAACGTGGAGACCTGACTGTAGAGTTGTCACAAATCTACAGAGCCTTTGGCAGGAACAAAGCTTTGACCCTGGGGCACTGCCAAGACCACTGAGGGATTGATCTTAAATGCATTCCGGGTGCAGGAATTGCAGAATGCCCTACGTGACCATGCCAGGGGTGCTGGAACAGTGAGCCACAGTGCCCGCTTGGTTCTGCAGTTTCTGTAGAGAGAAAACCGGAGTCAGATGTGGGAAGCAGCTGACCAGGGACAGGATGATGCACTCCATCCCTTAGGCTTGTGGCACAGCATCTCCCCATAGGCTGGAAAAACCTCTGAGGTCATTGATTCCAGCCACTCTGCCAGGTTACCTTGATTTGCTGCAGCTTCCCTCCTTCTGGGCTGTGTGTAGGGAGCAAGGACAGATTCCACATACCACAAAATGGTATTTCCTGGGATAAAGGGCTCTTTCAGGAGCTATTTTTATCTCTCTGTGCAGAGGCACAGGTGGGTGGCTTTTGCAGCTGCTTTGCCACAGCCACTGATGCCATGGGGACGGACCCCCAGCCCGGCTCGGCTGCCTGGCACAGCCTGCCAGCAGCTCCTGTCTGCCAGGAAAATTGCCAGGGAAGATGTTCCTTCTCCTGGAAGAGAACGTGACTCTCCTAGCCATGCAGTGCTGATCGGGTTAGACAGAGCATATTGTATTTTTCATGTGCTGGATCGCTCGCTGCAGTTGCTGCTGTGTAATGTGGGGCTTGTCAAGTGAGAGCCAAAATCGTCTCTGGTGCAACTCCCACCTGGGGACAACGAGGAGCAATCCTGTCCCAGATGCATCACACACAGTGATAAAGTATTTCCTAGGGCCAAATTCAGAACAGACATGCATGCTATGATGCCAAGGTTCATGCAGCAGGGTTTTCTGCCTGTGCATTCCCAGAGCAGGCAGGACAGGAGCCGGCCCCAGAGGTGCTGGAAGGTGAGAGGGCTGAGGCCATTCCCATGCTGAGGGCATCAGCTGAGCAGGGCTGCTTTGCCCACAGCCACAGTCCCCGTGGAGAGGGCTGAGGAGAGAAGGCACCACCCTGCAGCTCTGTGACGGGCTCTGCCCCTCACAAGGCTCCGGGGCTCGCAAGCGCAGCGCGCTGCTGCACGTTTGATCACCAGCCATCTCCACTCCCTGCAGGACTGGACGGTGAATTTGGTTGCGATGGAGACCGTGTCCCTGGAGCACCAGATCCAGAGTGTGCAGCGGCACATCGCTTTCCTGAAGAAGGAGCAGATGGAGCTGCTCCATGACCTGCACCTGGAGATCCTGCGCCTGCAGAAGCACTGCTCAGGTGAGCGCTGGGGCGGCCACGGGAGCTGAGTGCCCACGGAGCTCCTCGGGCAGGAAAGCTCCTGCTGGCAGCCCGGGGAGCTCACACAGGTGCTGGGCAGGACGCAGAGGAGGCGAGTGCAGGCTGCAGGAGGCTTGCAGCCCTGCCAGGCTGTGCTGCGGGGGGCACAGCTGCCCACAGCCCCGCTGCAGCAGTGTCACACTCCCCTCCAGCCACCCCGGCAGCAGGGATGGCTGCCCAGCCTTCTGCCACCACTGGAACTCTTTCCAACTTGTGCTGCTGCTCTCATCAATAATTCAGCCATAGCTAATTACTCCTTGTCTTCCAGCCTCTCATTCTCCTGGGTTCCTGGGAAACAAAGAAATGTCTGCACTGATAAAATTAGCTATTTTTCCCCATCCTTTCTGAGCTCCTGCTGTTCTGTTTCATTGTTTTAATGGTTTCATCTATGGCCTCTTCAGGCAGGCAAGGCAGTGGGGTTCTCCTGCCTAAATCAAACTTGGGGGATCTGTCCCCAAGGGCTGAAATGAGCCCACTGCACGGGGCATCTCCCCTTCCCAGTGTGACCCAAGGACAGCCATATCTGACCAGAGGGGTCCTGTCCTCCTGGGTGAGGTGTGTGCTTCTGCCAGGAGTGCCAGGCAACCCCTGGGCAGTTTTAAGGAGACTTTCCTGACATTTGAGTGTCATTATCTGGGGGGCTGTTTGCAGGAGGAGAGGAGAGTCTCTAAGTCAGTTTTTCCTCAGTGTGGCCCTGTGGAGCCTTGCCTGCTGCCCTGGCACTGCTGTTTCTGACTTTTTCACTATCCCCTTGGTCTCTCTGAGGTATCCCTGCAGGAAAGGCTCTCCCTCCCACAGAGGTGGTTCTCAGCTGCCCCTCAGGGGTCATGGGGATGGTGCTGAAGCAGATCAGCACAGAAACTGAGACCCCGGGCTGTGCATCATCCCCGCACTTGCTCAGCAGGATGATGTCTTTGGAAATAGGCAACTGCTTTGGTTTTCATTTGAAATATATCTGAGACTCCAAACCTATTATTTTAGCTTCAGAAAAATAGCACAATGGCCATTGATTCCCACGGGGCAGTCGAGAGTGCTGAACGCTTTCCAGAAACTGCATTACGCTCTCAGGTACTTCTGCCTCCTCACTACGGATTTGTTTTCCAAGACAGACAGGCAGAGCAGCCTCAGACAAGCGTTTGGTTTCAGAAGGATGGCAGTGATGAGGATTAGAGTCAACACAAAAGCAGATTAAAAGAAAAATGTAGGGCAAAGATTAACCATTTGAACTCATTTTCAGGAGAAAAAATAGCCCCCAAACAGCTGAGTGCTGCTGCTACCACTCTCTTCCTCTGTTCAGGGCTGTTAGTGGTTGGGTGGGATGTGATAATTAATTCAAAAGGGACTGTCTGTTAGAGTGCAGGGTACAGTGAACTCCAGAAGGTCCCTTTGTGACCTGGTGCTGCAGCCTGGGGCTAGACAGCGAGCAGGCAAAGGGCAGCAGAGAGGAGGCAGCACGCTGGGGCTGAGCAGGCAGGTGGGTGCTGCAGCTCCTGAGATTTGGGAGCGATTTGGGAGCGATTTGGAAGCTCCACGTTGCCCCAGAGCAGGGCAGCATCCTTCTGCAGGCACATCGTGCTGGGACGAGGCTGTCCCTGCTCTCGGCATGTGCAGAGGCAGCATCAGCCTGGAGCAGGAAATTATGAAATGCTTTGGGTGGCAGCTTACACTTTGGTCTATTTTCAATCCATTGCTCTGCTCTTTGTCCTGGTTTACAGCACTGAAAATGGTTCAGCAACTCTTTCAGAAAAAGGAAAGGCATTGTCAGAGGAGCAGAGCATCCTGTGGACAATGTCTCAGCCATGAGGCTGCTTAATAACACATAAATTGCCAGAATTGCCTATTTTTAGCTCAGCCTTGGCTGGTGCTCCAAGATGGCCACGCTCCCATGAAGGCTGGGCAGAGACAGCACTGCAGCCCCAGTGACGTCCAGTGCCCCAAAGGGAGCAGAGGAAGACACGGGGAGCACAGAACGGGTGGGATGCTCCTCCTCAGTCCTGTTGGATTTCTCTTCCAGAGCTCACCCACGATCTGGAAATGAAAGAGCTGGAGGCCCGCCAACAAGGTAAGAGCAGAGCTTTGGGCACAAGGTGGGGGGGAGCAGGTGTGGGTGCAGAAGAGCCTGCCCCAGAGGGGCCCTGCAGGGAGGCACAGGGACCTGGCCTGAGGGGCAGCGGGGCAGGGCAGGCTGGCAGGGTGCACAGCCTGCTGCCAGCCCCGTACCTGCTGGTGACGCTCTGTGAGCAGCCTGGCTCCCCTCCTCCCTCTGCCCACAGATGAAACTGAAACTCCTCCCTGGCGCTGCCTGGGCACGGCCCCTGGCACCAAGCCCCAGCCTGTGCTCTGTCCTCAGTGCCAGGGCAGCGGGTGCCAGGGTGGGTGCGGGCTGCTCTCACTGGGGCCGGCGGGCTCCTGCCCTCGGCACCCTCTCGCAGTGCCACGGCTGGCTCCACGGCAATTCCAAACTCGCAGCCCCTCCCTCGGAGCCGGGGGTCCCTTCTGTGCACCCGAGGGCTGTGCTGGCTGAGGGCCTGGTGCCCAGCCCAGCGAGTCCCATCCACGGTGTCTGCCCATCCTTCAGCCTTTCAGAGCTGCACAATCACTCTGCCACATTTACGGGGCAGCACCTCATTTACGATGCCATCAAATGATTGCTCTTCTAGTGCCGTTCATGCAATAATTGCTGCCTGCAACTGCCTCCCTAAGACCTCATTATAAAGCTGCAGAAACACTAAGGAGCTGAGGCTGTAAGTGGCTGCCAATCACATAATAAAAAGCAGATTATTGCAGAGGATGGGAGCAGGCCTGGGCAGGCCAGGGAGCGCGGGCAGGTGCCAGCCTGCACCCTGCCAAGGGCTGGGTGCTGGAGCAGGCAGCCAGGGCTGGGGTCAGGAGTCCTCAGCCCTCCTGCTGCCCACTGGGCTTGGCCCCAGAACCCCAAGCTGCGAATTCCCCAAGCTGTCTGGCCATCCTGCCCCAGGACAGCATTCCCCAGATCTCGCTCCCTTGTCCCAGGATAGAGGCTCCTTCCCTGCTGAGCACAGCCCAATTTCTCTGTAATCTTGGATTAGCATCTCCATCCTGACTAACCAGGCTTTGGAGTCCCAGGGCTTGAGGTCAAAAGTCCCTCCAAAGTTGGGCTGATGGTTTCCCTGCACCATTTCCTTTTCTCTTCCAGCCCGTGTGCTCCCCCACACCCTCTGCACATATTCAAAGTCACTTTTAGGGTGAAAAACTACTTACCTAGGGGAATTTTAAAACTGCAGCAAGGTAGAGGCAGCAGGTTCCATGGCAACAGCATCCTCCACTGAAGCTGCCTTTTGCTGTCACCCCTTGCTGGGTGTTACACACGGCACCATGCCAGGGGCCGGTGCTGGGGCTCCTGTGCCTGCGCTGGCAGCTCGGGCAGCTCACAGGGGGCTTTTTCCCGACTTCCAGAAGCACCCAAGCAGCCTCAATGGCACTGCTGGGACACGCTGGCATGGTGGAGTGGTCAGCAGCCACGTCCAGCCAGGAGCTGTGCTCCCATCCTGACCCCTCTGTGCCTTGACCCACAGACGTCCTGGACCGCGAGCTGGAGGAGAAGTGCCGGGCGATGGAGGCCCAGCTGCAGGAGAAGGAGAAGGACAACCTGGAGCTGCGCAAGGAGCTGCAGCACAAGGAGACGCTGGTGGCCGCGCTGCGCTCCAGCCTCCGCAGCAAGGAGCGCCGGTTCCTGGAGGAGCTGAAGCGGCGGAGCCACCGCGTCACCATCCTCGACACCGAGCTGCAGAAGCAGACGGAGGCGGCCGCCTACCTCTCGCTGCAGCTGCACGCCACGGCCCAGCGGCTGCCGGGCCCCCGGGCGGGCGGGCGGCCGCCGCCCGAGCAGCCCCCGGCCGAGCCCCGGCCCCCAGGC